AAAGTAAACATTTTCTCCAAAAGTAAAGTCTTTTTTCCTATCAACATTGTACAAGGCGATTTTTCTCACTGGGTATTAGTGGTGGCAGACATGGTGAACAAAGAACTCGTTTATTACGACAGCCTTAAGAAATGTTACTTTTATGAATGTCATCTTAAGATAATGGAATACTTAGTGTTCGAACATAATGAAAAACTGAGTAAATCCTTCCCGTTAGATGACTGGAAGCATTTTAAAGGTAGTAACCCCATCCAGAATAATAGTATTGACTGCGGGGTGTTCGTTTGCACTATTGCCGAGTATTTATCTAGAGATGCAGCGTTCAACTTCACTCAGCAGAATATGCTAGCATTTAGAAAATTGATAGCTTATGAACTAACGACCCATAAACTCGTTAAAATAGATGTGCCCAGTAATTCTATTAATGGGGAAATACATCGTATAACTTGTCTTCATTTAACTCAAAAATACCCTAATGTAACTTTTAAATAGTACCTATTATTTGTAAATAATAAAATATTAGCGTTAAGTATTTAGATTTAATTATACCAGTGTAAAAAGTTTTAGATATAAAATACATTTAAGTTAATATTATAAGTACTGATTAGTTTTATTAATTTTTAAATGTTTATATTGTGTACTACTTTTTATGGAAAATATGTTATATAAGGAAATAATAATATTTTTGAAAACATAAGAATGTCAAATTTCAAATCCTTATATGTTTATTTAAAATGTCATTCTTGAAATATTATTTTAATTATATCTATTACTATAAGTTCAACATGGAAATGTATTTATGTTATTTACTCCTTCATAGAGAGCTAACTGCCTAACATATACCATCTAAATAATCTGAAAATATGTTGATGTTCATTTGAGCTTTTTGGAAAATCATTTAGACCAGAGAAATATGATGCCAATTGGTATTTTATATATTTTTTTTTTTTTGCCTGGAAAATATGTATTTGATTATCCTTCCCTCCTGTATATAGATATTGCAGATTAAGGCTTGGATGTCAGCACACCATTTGTTCTCTCTCTGACCCACGCACAACATAGAATATTATATGTTGAATATTGTAAATTTCCTCTTGTAAAATTTAAAGTTAAGATTATTGTCTAGGCCAAACTTTTTATTATATTTTAATTTTAAAGTGAGTTATGAGTGTTTCAAAATTTTAAATTGTTTGTATATCTTGAAATACTAATAACTCGCTTACATCCATTTAAATAAGAATTTAAAAATGAAAATTGTATAGTTTAAACTCAAATGGTACTTAACAATTTGTAGTTTATTTTGAAAAGAAAATAGCATTTCATCTACTTATCATTTAACAGTTAATGGCACACAATTTTTTTATAATAATTTTTAAAACATCAATAATATACCTGAACGAAGCAATGCAAAATTCTTATTTAAATACTTTAAAATATTATTTAATATATTAAATGTATAGTCAAGCAGGCGCTAATAACAATACATTTATAAATAAATAATGGTTAAAAAAATGTTTTTTACTTCACGATATATTTTTTTTTGGAATTTTTAAAGTTGTTTAAATATATAACTTTTTCTATTTATGTATATTTTGCTTTTGTATTACTATTTGTGGTTCTTATTTTGATGTATTTATTTACTGAAAAAGTTTGAGAATTTCAATAATTTTCAAAATATATGGATGTATTGTTGATAACAATTTTGTGTATGATGGGTGCCCAAGCAGCAAAGAAATGTTTTAGAAATATATTTAAAACTTAACAACATTGCTATTGTAATTAATTGCAAGAATAATATTTTTTAAATGTTTAAAAACATTATTTTTGAAACATTTTTGTAGCAATGTTTTTATAACAACAATTAAATATAATTTGTAATACATTTTTGTAAGAGACATTTAAAAAACATTTATTTGTAAAATTTTTTAATAATATAGTTTTATAATCATTATAATTATAATTATCTTAAAATAATATGACTACATTGACATAAGTAATGTTGTTCTATTAACTGCAGTAATGTAGGTAGTATACCTACATAATATAAATAGCAAGTGATATTATAATATTTACTAGGTAATATAATATACTAGTACCTATTAGTATATACATAGGTACTATACGAAAAACGGGAATTTCCCATTCTCAACGGTACGTTCGTATTACTCAGTACCCACGTATAATACCTTAGTGGCTTAGTATAATAGTGCTTTATATACCCAACAAATAATAGATTAATAAATCGGAAAAAGACACCCTTACAAAAGCTCAAAAAAGGATATCTATTAAATATATAATAACCATCATACTCTGCGCTCAACTACATATGATACACCAATACTATCGTAAAACATATAGGTAAGCGCCTATATAAAATTTTTAACCAAAAATGTGAATAAATAAACAAGCGGGAGCTTTGGACCTCCTATATAAATTTCTATAAGTACCACTGATCCTATAGGTATCCTACGATTTACCAACGCATATTATTTAATATTATATATATATTATATTTAATATACATCTAGGACTAAATAAAATAAATTGCGTTCCTAACAAAATGCAGTATTGCACTGTGATAATAATAAATTAATTCTATATTCACTTCAGTTTTCACGAAAATTTTAATCATAAATAACAATATTATATGCGTCATGTTCTGTAGGCGTAATGGAAAGTGATTACTGATTAGTAGTATTATTAGTGATACAAGTATACAATATTGTCATTCCTTTTTGTGGCCTGTACGGGCTGTCAAAAAACCGCCAGTCATCCGACATCCACACTAAATAATATAGAATTATATGAATCGCAGGGCGCAGGAAATATTTTTCCGTAGACCATTATAATGCAGTATTGATTAATGAATTTATTATTATTTTAAGACGTGCCATTACCCGTTTTTATTTTTACCATAATGGCCTGGCAATAACAGTTTATATTTTATAACAGTTGCAATATACATTGATACAAATTTACCATCTCCAGCGCTTCGGAGTATACGACATACATCTTTTATTGTGACGGTCTGTCCGATAACCCAATGTGCCACGATTGTCCTATCCGATTCTTATCGGTTTGAAAGTTTTCTATTTTGGTAATTGGTAGTGGTTACATATTTTTGTCTGTGACTGCCGACTGCCTGACAGACGACACTTCGAGTCTAACAAGTAACAGGTTAATTTTACACTTTAGCAGTTATTATTTTGTTGTACGGTTCACTAAAATTTAATTTGTTAATTAACTATAGTACAGCTGTAGTTTGTACTTTCGTTATATTATAGTGTCATGTTCGTGTACCTGTAGACTCCGCGTTGAAAGTGTGTACAGATCTCAAGTATACAGACGCCACCCAAAACAGGTAATATACCTACATTAATAATAATTAATTAAAAGTTGATTTTGTTTTTAAAACGTGTTCAAATATTTTAATACATTATATTATCTAATATTATGATGATATACAAGAGGTTGATTGAAAACTTGAGTTTGAGTAATAAATCAGTGGGTTTATGAATTTCATACTCTTAAAGCCTGCTGCCTGCAGCGGTAGCGGTAAAATTCTATTGTCTTATTGCTGTGGCGGTAAAATGTGTGGTTACATTTCAATGTACCACCACTGCAGTGGTCGAGGACCCTTAAAGTACTGTATTGTAAAGCAATCAAAATGCCTTGGTACATATATATTATTACAAGTTTTAATATACCAAAACCAATTTGTTGATATTTGTCTCTTGGTAATGATACAGTGAGATACTCGTCTTTTAAATATAGGCATTTATAATAGTGTGCATAGAAGTGAGCATTTATCTGATCTTGCAATTTCAATGTGTATGTACCTATATTGTCTTATGTAGGTACTTTAAGTAGGTAATATGGCGACGGTATGGACTAATATTTAACTATATAATATATACACTGTAGACTGTAGTAGGTATGGCCTGAGTGTGGGAATTTATTTCAATAATAGTATAATTTAGACTTATTGATAATAATTATTAACTCTATTTGATAATAAAATATCACGAGTGGATTGACCCACCAGGAATCATGTTTTCCTTGTTATTGTTAGATATTGTGTTAAACGAGTAACAACTCATGAATAAATTTTTTGATAGAGAAATAAGAAATACAAAAAAAAAGATTACTATCTTGAGCTCATTTTAATCTTTGGATGTATACTATACTATACAATATAATATATTAGGTACCTAATCACCTTTAATACCACATAATACCAAAACTATTATGGTGAATATTTTTTTTGTGTTATACTATATTGTTGCAATATGATAATATAGGATTACCATATTATCTAGTGCATGTGTTTTTGTTCAGAATGGATTTTTAAATACCTACTCAATTATGAATAGCGCTTAAAAAAAGTATAAAATATTAATAAGTACTTCGGCCCTTTACGAATAGTTGGCACAGAACTTGAGTTTAATATAATCAGTTATCCCAATAATAATACATACACATAAATGTTAATTTAATGAAAATTAATACCTATATATTTTATACCAATTTTAAAAAAGTAATTTACATAAATTTTAAATAGGTACCTACTGTTTCTTTTTGTCATCTACTATTATTAATTTTTACTAACTCACTTTCAGCCTTTTTTAAGGGCTTTAACAAGTGAATTTAAATTATTTACAAATAGTACCTACCTAGGTATTTAAAAATATTTTTTTAATTGTAATACATTATATGAACTTGTTTGTTAATGTAAACCTTAATATTTATTAACTACCTAACAATATATAATATTTATAAAACAAATGTTAGTATCTATTATAGTATATTATGAACACGTTTTATTATTTAAGATTAAATTTATAATTTGATTACAATTTTCCTACACAAATATGTTTTCCAATGCGTCCCTGAACAATATACTATATAGTCACAATTATAATATAGGCTAGCATAATATATATGAGAAAAATTAAAAAAACTATATTCCATTGTTTTTTAACCTGTTTGATAGTCTTACAATGCCTCGAAGGGGATGTTCTAAATTTCATCAGCTCTCAGATCGAAGTAAAAGGAGGCGGGTGAATGAAGATGAAGGATGTTCTAATTGGCCCAGTAATTCAGATGATAATTTTTCTTCAAGGCTTTATTGTACAAAAAAATTTTTTAACACTTCTGTGATTAATACCGACCCAGCTAATGATATTAATACTTTGGATAGTTCACAGTATATTTTTTATAATCAAGTATTTGAAGACAATGATCATCTCTCAAATGAAGAAGTTGAATTTAATGATAGCAATTATGAAAATAAATTTTTAGATTCTTCATCTAGTGAAACCATATTTGAAGAATATTCTTCTTTAGGTTTCCAAATGAATAATACATACACTTATTGCTCTGAATCAACCACAACACGCTCTTCGGGTATTAAAAACTTCTTACGAAATTGGGCTATAAGACACAATATTACTTAAAGCGCTGTTTCTGATTTATTAGCTGGATTAAAAGAAAATGTTGATAGTTTGACTAATATTTTGCCGTCAGACGCTAGAACATTACTTAAAACTAATTTAACTCTAGAAAAACTTAATATTAACCCTGGAAAATATATACATTTTGGTTTAGAGACTCAATTGAAATTTTTACTTAAAAATGTTAATTAATTTGATATTCATGAACTCCATTTGCTTGTCAATATTGACTGGCTACCATTATTTAAAAGTTCCCCAGGTCAAGCAATACCAATTTTAGTAACAGTTGTAAATATACCTATTCTAAGAAAAATTGTATTCCCAGTTGGACTTTATTATGGCTATCAAAAACCAGATGACATGGATCTATTTTTGCATTCTTTTATGACAGAAATAATAGAATTGTCAAATAGAGAATTATTAATTAATAATACAAATTTAAATGTTAAAATTATTGGATTTGTCTGCGATGCTCCAGCCAAAAAGGATATTCTAGGAATTAAAGGCCATGGAGGATATTTTTCATGTACTCGTAAAGTCCGTGGCAGAACAATGTATAATTAGAGGGTTTTTACTGAATTAAACTGTGCAAAGAGAACTAATAATGAATTTATTAACTGGATCGATAAAAATTATCAATTGCGAAGTACAATACTTACTGAAAAACCAGGATTAGAATTTGTTGATTCAATAATTTTAGATGTAATGCATCTGGTTTTCCTAGGTATAATGCGTACCATGCTTTCTACATGGAAAGATGGCGTGATTCCATTTAAGTTATCGCGGCAAATGATTCAACGAATTTCCAATTTTTTAGCCAGTTCAAGACTACCAGTAGAGTTTACAAGGCAACCACGAGAATTAAAATATCTTCTTAGATGGAAAGCTACAGAATTTATACTGTACCTTGGACCTATTGCTTTAAGAGGGAATTTAGATCAAGCAAAATACAACATTTTTTTAACTTTACATGTAGCCATGTCTATTTTATTAAATCCAAAAAGTATTAGAGATGAGGCATTAAGAAATTATGCAAGATCATTATTAATCCATTTCGTGCAAACATTTACCAATATTTACAATGAAAGTTTCATAACACATAATATTCATCGTTTAATTCACTTGGTCGATGATGCAGACTATTTTTCAAGAATAATTACTGACAATCAGTTTAATTTAGAATATATTTCAGCATTTCAGTTTGAAAATTACCTTCAAAAAATAAAAACAATGGTTAGAGGCAAAAATAGACCTCTAGAACAAATTGGAAATCGTATGGCTGAATTATTTTTAATAACTAATTCTGAATGTTCATTACATTTGGCCAAAGATACACAATTCCCAATATTCTCGCAAAATCATTATAACGGTCCTCTTCCATCAAACTGTATCAGCCCACAATACAAGGTTATAGCTTATGAAAAGTTCAAAATTAAAATTGAATCACCCAATGATATTTGTGACAGTAAGACTGGTGATATAATAAAAGTTGAAAATATTTGTTTCTTTCAAGATCTTAATAACTGCATAATAGTTGGTAGAAAGTTCTTAAGATGTAAAGATTTTTTTTTAATGCCTTGTACCAGCTCATCAATAGGGGTTTATGAAGTGGACAATAATTATATGTCAGACATTAACATATGGAAAGTTAATGAAATAATATTAAAATATGTATCATTTGAGTACAAGAAATCATTTGTTGTTTTTCCATTACTGCATACAACCTAAACTGTTAAAAACAATACGAGCAATACAATTATTTAGTTCTAAGAGCAGGGGAGGGGTTCTAAAATAGGTTAATATTATAATGAAAACATTTAACATTTTAAGAAACTAAGTTTGTTTTTAAATAGCTTATAACTTCACACTTAACATTTTATAGAATGTGGACTTTAATTCATCTGTATGAAGAAAATGGCGACACCAGTCCCGATTTAATACCAAACGAATGGATGTTAAACGACTACAGTTGCTGGTACCCCAAAGATTTTAAATTATCCACTATAAAAGCATATGCTAAGAGAAAAGAAAATCCTTGCCAAGACCAATGAACCAAGACCATGTGAAATTGAAGTGATAGAGAAAAACATTGGTATAATTTTTATTATCATTAATGTTTTATTAAAATTATATGTATATGTACAGAAGATTATATACCTAGTACTATATATATAATAAACACTTATATTAAAACTAATATTTTAGATAATTATGAATATGGAATAAAACTCATCTATAAAGTCAATTAACATTTAAACAATAATAGTCTGGATCATAGTTTAAACCTCCATTCAGAAGTAGAAGAGAGGTCGTGGTCAAAGAACAAAGCAAAAAAAAAATAGACAAGAATCCAAACAAAATAGGAGCATATTCGATGTTGATGATGACCATTCAAACTCTGACGAAGTTGACAATCATGATACTGATGATTTTGGTGGTGAGACATCAGTTAAAAGAACAAATCTTGTTATGTACCCAGAATTTCCAAAGAAACAAAAAGGTAAATAACCATATTTTCACATTTTTTTATTCAATACCTAATATATTAACTAGATCATTTTATTTTTCTGATTTTTTTTCACATACTTAGTCACTCACCGAAATGAAAAAGTGTATTCCAATAATGCTCCATCTGGATCAAGATATCAAGATAATACGTCTATTACTCCGTCTATTACTGACAGAACAGGTAATATATATATATTATATAGTTATGTATAACATAACCTCAGAGAAAAAATAAAATCTAGTTTAGTTATGAATTATAATGCATGCATGCAAATAACATTTAATTTCTAGTACCAGCTGTGTCGATGGTAACTGATATATTTTGTGAATGCAAACTTTCAAAAAAAGTTCCACATTCCTGCACCTTTGGTACACCAAATCAAACTAATGTTAGTCTTCTGGAAGCTATAGGACATCAACTTTGCAGATTATCAGGTATCCTAGCTATTGCATCTATTTATTTTTTTTAATATTGCAAAGTATTAAACTTTAAATACACTTTTTTTCCAGCTGATATTCTAAAAATAAAAATCATACAAATTATATAAAGCAAGATTTAAAATCATTTATTGATAATGATGAGAGCTCCAGAAATAACAACCAACGACCAGAAAAAATACAATTTGAAAATAGTATTTAATCATCATTCCCTTTGAATAACGAGAATGAACTTTTGTCTATAGAGAAAAACCTACTCTCTGAAGACTTAGGTTATGCTAACAAGCTGGTAAAAATAATATGTTTCATATAATATGTATTAAATATTTTAAAAACGGTCCTATAAAAAAAATATGTCAATTATTATAGGTTACAGCGTTCATATTTGCATCTGAAGGAAAAACTATCACAAAAGTAACAAACAGTATACTAAGAACAGTCATTTCTGATGATTTAGCCAAACAGTATAGCTGGAAAGGTCAGAAAAACAAGAATTCGTTAAAAGACTTAACCATCAGTAAGATCATAATAGGTTAGTACTTCATTCATTTTAATTAAAAGTAATTACCAACTGATTTAATTATAGGCAGGCTTTAAAACAAAATTCTCAATACTGATAATAACTGTATGACCTGAATGACTGACATAGGAGGTATATTGGTAGTGTTATTTATAGAAATTTTTCTTAAACATTTGTATTTAGTTAAGATTAATTCTCTTAATACAAATACGACTGAACAATAAATAAATAATATAGGTAAATAATACTACTCAAGTAGAAAAAATTAAATTTGCTAGAAGTAGGTATAAATAATAGTATCTATATATTATAATAGTACATATAATGTAAGAAAAAACTACTGAATGTCATCAGCTTTGGAAGAGAATAAAATATAGACAGTTGTGCCTAACTGCTACAAAAAGGTTCCTTCTTAATACGAATAAGGAATTAGATAATATTACTTATTAAATTACTATACCTATTTAACCATTTAAAAAATACTTTTCTAAAATCAACCCCTTCCAATAATATAATAATACCCATGAATGATTATTATACATCTATATTTATTATAGATAATAATAATATATTAGTACTATAATTAAAATTTGTAAAATAAATTCAACATTAAGATAACTTTTAAATAAAATATTCTCAAAGTTAAAAAAACTAATTTGAATGTACTAACTATTTATTTATTTATATGTTTTTTAATGTTGTAGACGCTGTGCTCAAGAAGTTACCAAACATACAAGATTCTAAACAGGAAATAAAACGTAGCATAATGACATGGTTGGCTCAAGCACCTAACCGCATTATAAGGTTAAATTTAATTTTAAATAGTTAGTATTTTATTTAAAATTAATTTGCGTTTATGAAAACATAAATGTTTAGCAATTGTATCCATTAACATTTATTTATTTGAGATTTATAATAAAAAAAGCAAGTTTTTGTTTTTAATATCTGAATTTTAAAATTGTTTTAATAATTTAAATAAAAAAACAAAATGTACAATTTAAAAAAACCTTAAATTATTAGGTGATTTTACAATGGTGTTTATTATTATTATTTTTTTTTTATCGTGTATATAAAATTTCTACCAGAAGGAGTTCTGATTTCAACATAATAGTACCTTATCTTTTAGCAAACTACCGACAAATTACAAAGAAACCACTTAAAATGGGATTTTAATTTCAAACGTTTTGTTTATAACCGTAGCAACGAATATAAAATAATAATATAAAAATATTAATTCATCTTAAAGGCTATAATTATTAATAAAAATATAAAAAATCTAGACTGATAAATCGTCTCCACTCAGAACCGTTTTTCTTATGCAATGATATTGTATCATTGAATTCAAGTTTAATACAATTCATTATATATTGACCCACTTGTAACCTACTGTACAGCAGAGCGACATCCACTTACCTATTTTTTCTTTATTTTTTTTTTCATTTATTATATCATGTAAGTTAAATTAATATTAAAATATTATACTTTTTTATCCGTTGCTATGATGTTAAACAAAACGTTGGAAATTAAATCCAATTTTTGGCGGTTTTTCGTAAGTTATCGGTAGTTTTCCAAGTGGCATTAAAAAAATATTAAGAAAATCAAAAAAATAACCTCTCAAAAGTACCATCTTCACCCAATTTGCTAAAAGATTGTATGTTGATATCAGTTATTAGTTTTTGAATTATATCCAAATAAGAAAATCGTTACATGAGTAATCGAGTGAATAACAAATTTTGTAAAAATATGAATTTAAAATACTCATAAAAATGCAATTTCACTTTCCGGTTGACATTTTGATAAAGGTTGGCAAACTTATGAATAGTCTTGTATTACATTTTCAAATCTTAGATTTTAAAAGAAAAATTTTTATGAATTTCTTACCAAAAATAATTTTAATATTTCACGGGTTTTCCGTATTTTGTCAATATTTGAACCTTATATGCTTATAAAAAAAGGTGCTCTGCTGTATAGTGGGTTACAAGTGGGTCACTGAATAATGGATGGTTTGAAATTTGATTATAATAATGTAATTTTTATTAATAATTATGATATATTAACAACAAACCCTGATACAATCATAGATATATAAAAGTGGTCTTATAATATATGTTATAATATTATATTTGATAAGTACCTGGTGCTTAAAATAGTGTGTAGTGCGGTTCCACATCTGTTATATCCGACACCAGAATTGAGGCATTAGTTGGCACGTCTTAAAGCAAGAACTGAGATATAAAGGCATGGTTTTAGGTCTATGAACATAACTTAAAAAATTCCGCATCTTATAATTATTTGAAATAAGTCGCACGATTATTTGCCACAGGGTGCGCTTCGATCGCTATGGTTGCTACTTAAAGCCATGTAGTACTGTAGTAGGTATTTTGATTATTCATGTTTTTTGCGTTTGTTTGGAAAATATATTTATTATTTTGAACCATGATCCCTTTCAAACCGGCTACCTTTGAAACCTATCTACTTACATAATTTTTTTTCTTTTAAACTAATTTACGCGTTAAAAAAATATATTTTGGTGATAAATATAGTCCCCCAAAATCAACGGGCCCCGGGATCGTGCCCGCTTTAATCTGGACTTAACGCCCATTTGTTAAGTTATATTTTACATTTTTACGCATGTACACAATGGACTTACCGATTTTTTCTTATTGAAAATCTTTTATGTTCTTCAGAAGTTCAGGCTTTGGATAATTTCTTGATTGTGCTGTGACGACTGACGGCTATTACGATTTACGATTTCTAAAGTTACTGTTACTTATCGCAGTACAATTCACGAATTACAAACCAACCAATTATAAATAAAAAAGTAAATTTAAAATCAACAACCTTAACGAGTTTGCGGCCGTCGATGACCCGATAACGCGTTACTCGATGGCGACGATACCTACGGAAAAAATATTAAACAAGAAATTATCGCTACACGCGTTGCATAGACAATTGTATTGCAACGATAAAATCCCCACTTACTTTTGCTATTACGCATGCGCCTAAACGCTCTAGTTCAGTGAACCCAACCTATTTTACTTGACAGTGCTTTGATCTTTTAATAAATTATCAAGGCACACACAAGGTTCATGGTACATAAAAGGAACGGTTCTAACTTCTAAATCTTATATGAAAATTGTTATTTTTGAATTTTATTGTAATAATATAAAATATTATATCGGATAATTGTAATTTGACGGTTATTCTAATTATAAATATTATATAGGTACGCAGATATCTCGCTAATTGTTTTTTTTAAACA